CCGCGGGCTTCTACTCGGTTTTTACGGAAGACAAAAACGAGGCACTCAAAAAGGGGCGGTACCTAACTTGGATCCGAGCTCGGAAAATCAGGTTCAGGAAACTGAAGGAAAGCGAAAGACTCATGCGACTCTCTGATTTGCTTGATTTGCAATTCGGCTTCCAGAGTCCAGTGTCCTTCATCTTCGGTGATGTCCATGGGGGACGCACAAATCCACCACCCTTAAAGCACTTCCGTTGTACGAGTAGGAAACACACCAGCCATGCATGATGTTCACTTGGACCTGAACCCTTTGGTGCACATCTTTTGGAGTGACCGGGGTGCATCCCACAGCCCAAGCTTAGGAGTCTGAGCTGAACAAATTGTGGGGGGTTGTTGTCATGGTCGGTTCCACGTGGTTTCTCTGTCAAACGCGGCAAAGAAAGTTAAACATATTGTACACTGGCTGGCTTGCAACTACAATAGCACCTGGTAAATCAAAAGGATGACGTCATGCAATGAAACATGTCCAATCTGACACAGTCACAGCTTCACCCGAAAAAAAAACTCAAACCTCTCTTGAACAAATGCCTTCATGAAACCTCAATGGAGGCCCCTGGGGATGTTCACGGGAACCTCCAACAGGATTGCTCTGCAAGCAGCGCGTGTTTTTTCTTAGCTCCAATCTTCTTGAGCAGCTCCAAGCGATTCAGGAAGGTTTCTGCTGGGCTTGTGTATGTTCAGTGGGGGGGCATTTAAGCAAACCTGCACCTATGTTTGGGCCTTTGGGACCCCCTGTCAGCTTCCGTGTTAGTCTTGCCCCGCGAAAGAACTGACATGGCCATGGGTCAAAACCCCGTACCCCAGTGAACATCCAAATCCCAACTAAAATAGACTAACATGGGTGGTGCACCTATCCCAAAATGGTACCATTGGTTTTGAACCAGGGCAACATAGTCATGTTCTGGGCTTCCAACTGGCATCCGAAGCGAAAGAACCATGATGCCTGACTCCGAATGGCTTCCCTACGCCGATCCCCACAAACTTCCTTGTTTTCAGAACACCTTTCCATTTGCCGAGTCTGTGCTAAACCTACGCAAAGCGGACAGAACCCCCGATAAAATGGCCAAGGGAGGGTTCGGCTGCTCCCAAAGCCATTTCGGGGCACTTGACCTGAGAGCCCAGCTAATGGACAGAGAGTCCCCAGGCATCGCCATTTCGACCTGGCTCTTCCCGAAACTGGAGGCAACTGGGACCACAACATTGCACACTGAAATGACGCCAAATCCACAAAACCTCCCGAAATGCGTGTCAAAAGGAGATTCCTCTAAAATTGCGCGATGAGCTCCGAGATTTACTGGTGTCACCGCAAATTCAATACATACCTGGGACCACACATGGGTTCTAGGATGACCTGATCGTCCTTTGCTGGAACCTGCTTAGCAGCTCACACCGATGGACCGGCTCTCGATCGACGAAGTGGGTGATGGAGCCTAGCATCACGATGTAGAAAGGGCCCAATACACGCGGAAGTCCGAGTGGCGGACTGGAAGAACCCTATTGTGCGAAAAGGTTCATGTTCACCTCACATTCATCCGAAGGACCGTATTAACCAGGGGTCGTCCCCCTTTCAGGGGTGGGTCTTTTTTGAGGGGTGCGTCCTCTTTCAGCGAGGAAACAAACTATTTACTCTTTTTTTTGGGCGGGGTCCGGATGAATCCCGGAATTCAGTTTGATACAGCATAGGGCCCCTTCCAATTTCTGTCCTTGAGGTCTTCCCTCACTCCCTAATAGCCGCCTTCAAAGGCTTGTCCAAGGAAAACGAGAAGTTGACCAAACTCAACTCTCGGCTCGTTTCGCAAAATGTGAGAAAGCAGAGACGGATCAATAGAAAAGAGAAAGGAACAACACACACACAACATAAATGAAGGAGCGCAATGCTCTTCGACCCAAACTTGGGTGCGGACGTTGTCTGGCAAGTTCACCTCCACTGTGACGGTGCCGGTTCTAATGAACGCCTGGCTGGTTCGGCCCGGTGAGTCACTTCGCCGTGCCGGTTCCGGGAGTGCCCGAAGTGAGCGGGAAAAAACGCGCCCAAAGCCTCATGACGTTTGGTGCTCCCAGTCACTCCATTCACCTGGACAATAGGCAACCAAATAAACTACCCTGTAAAAACCACAACGAAAATTGTTTTTTGAACTATGTCCCTCACCGACAAAATGTGTGCCTTTTGGAAATTTGGGGCAAGGCTCAAACTAGCCCCCCTCTTGCATACAATGGCAACCCAGTTGACCCCTTTGCACCACATAGTTAGGGGCTATCAAAGGATTTGACCATTGGGCCTGGTTGCAAGGGTTTCCTTGTGGTTAGCCAGAGGTTCGGTCAAACCTATCGTGCCCTTGGGGTTGTTTTAAAGGGCCAAAGGCCTGAAGCACCAGGTTTGACTCAGCGAAAGGCAAACGGAAGTGACGAGCGGCACAACACATGTTGTCGCATTCGTGCGGATAAGTCATCCCCCATTGCCGGCTCCGCAATAGCGACAAAAACACCTCCAGAAAAAGAAGAGAACACGTCCCGCCCAACCAATCTTGCCAATCCCAGTTCATTGTCGACTGATTTGAGTCATCAACCAGATTGCTCGCTCTAAGGGCTCCTTCAGCCGAAGCCTAGCTCAAGATGGCGCAGGTGAGAAAGGGCGCTGTGCAAGACACCCCTCTCTGTGGTTCAGACGGAAGGTCCCCAAAACAACTACCAGGTTACCCTTTGTCCCGAAGTCCGCAGCAACTGCCTTTTGCGCGCCTGAATCTGCAACCGAGGCCCTTTGTCAAAATGGGTTTGCGCCCCCGAAACATTAGAAACACATTCGCCTGCCGTTTTTGGTTGATTTTAGTTAGCATGCCGTTTTTGGTTGGTTTTAGATCGACACCTGTCCATTTGGCGTCTTGTGGGGTCTCACAGCTCGCAGCTCGCGCCTGCGGTCTGTACTTGGAGAAGAAGGGCTTCTTTCGACCACCCTCATCCTCCTTTAACACCTCAGGCCCGATAGGCGGAAAACATAGCCCAGCGAATGGACACCTTTGTTCTCATTGGACACTTCAGAGTGAAAGCTCAAGCGGTCTAACATATTTGGCTCATCCATACGATCAACTGTGTGTGGCTGAAGCAAGGTCTTTCAGGGAGCCACTGGTGACTAGCCAGGGAGGTAAAAGCATCCAAGCGGCGAGAGAAAGAAAGAAGGCTTTTTGCAGACTCCAGTAAAAGCCCTATACACTAAAGAAGGCGGTTCCAAAATACAACCCAGCGTGTCCACCACTCAAAATGGCAACTTACGGCATGCAGCTATTAAGCCGCCAGCATAAATGTCAGCATCGAACTTCGAAAACCTCAGGTCGCAGGGGCCAGAAAAACACACACAAAAACACGACACGCCCTTGAGCGGGGGAATCCATGAAAAGTCATGCTGGGGTCATGGTGGCACGCTGAGTTCATGGGTCGTCTGAATGGGGCCACCTGAGAGATTGCCTGACACGAACAAGCAAATGCCACTCGAAACCTTAGGAATTCGAATTCCCCATATTTCTGACTCTGAAACAGCCCGCCAAGGAGAAACTCGCCCGAATGCAAGTGAATCGACCCAAAAGGGCAACGGACCACTCTGGCTAGGGGAAAAAGGGGGGGGCCAACTGAGTGCCCGTCGTCTTCACAGTTCCAGCGGCGCACAGAACCTGGCGAAAAGTTAGTGGCGATACCTGAAGTTGAAAGGACCCTTGTTTCACCTGAGCTTGACCTGCCCTTTTTTCAATTTTAAACACGCAGGATCCATCTAGGTGCCACGGACTGCCCTTGGGCCAACACAACTACAAGGTAGGGGCACTGATTCTGCAACCCTTCGGCACCCTTTTTGGCGCCCCGCGTGGCAACGCCTTTTCTTGTCCTCGCGGCTTGCAAAAAAGCGTGCACTGATCCTGGAAGCCCACTCAAATGGGTGCCATAACAAACCCTTAGGCTGAGTTGGCCAACTATAAATATCCCTTTATCCCTTTGGAATGTGTTTTACCCGATGCTGGGAAACCAACTTGCACCAGGGTGGACCCCCTACGTTTACTCTTCCTTCGCCATATATTATTTTGCCCTCATTCAACATATCTTACGAAGACCCAGGAGCCTCCGGCACGGGAACCCCGGCTCCATACTAACGACGGACCTGGGCGATATGTTCCAAGCCACCCGGGATTTGGGTCACCAATTGGCTGACCCTTCACCCAGCGAATGAGCCGACCCAGAGCCTGATCAAAACTGCTTACCATCCCGTCCACATGGAACCTGACTGAGGGGTCCTGGACCATGAGGTTCCATGTTAGTGGACAGGAGGGCAAATAAGCAGTGAATGTTCGATGTGTTCTCAAGTGACACAGGAATTCATTTCCAAATGTTAGTGGTTGCTACGTGTGGCCCGCAAACCGAACATCATACCTGCACATGGGCCAAATTTAGTTCCATTTCAATTTGCTTCAGGTTCACTATGTTCATACCTCCCAAGGCATGGTGCAGCAGGATTCCACGGTCCAACTCAGCATCCTGACTAAGATGCTCCTTTGTCTCCAGCAGCCGAAGTAGTCTGCTTGAAGGCGCCGGATGTCTATGGGCTCCGCGGCCACTGCAGTGTCCTGCATGCCACGATCATGCTTATTAGCCCCCTCTAAACCATGGCAAACCGCTTTTCCCTGCAGAAATCCAAGCGGGAAACTCTTTGAATGGAATTGTAACAAATTGAGCAGCTCAGACCCCTGCCAGACAAATTTCGGAAGCAATCCTCAGCCGGCGGCCGCGGGGCTTGCGCCCAGCATTGCACTTGTCGAAGCAGTCGAAGCCACTCGCCGGAGGCAGCGATTTCGCAAGCGACACTCGAGGAAGAGGATCATCTCACCCATAGGGAGCCCAAGTAGGGGGGAGTGGCAGGGGAGGGGGGGGGGGTTGGAATCTCAACCAAGTCTTCTCAGGCCGAGCACATCATCTCGCCCATCATCTCACCCAAGTAGCCCATGATGCGCCCGTAAGACACCCCACTTCCAGTAGGCCCAGCAGCCGGCGCGCCGCCAAAGACGCGCCCGCCAACTCGCAGGCCGACAAGGCCAGACCGTAGGTCCTGGCAGAGAACGAAATCCGTCCCTGTCATGTCCATTCACTTTCTTGGTTTCTCCTTCATCTATTGAGAGTGGTCTCCAACCACGACCAATCTATTAGAAGCAATGCGATACACGTTTCCGTCAGCTTTTGTTAAAGCCTGATTGTCCTCTATCTTGTCGAATCGATTCATGAACATGTCCCCTTGTCTTGAACTGTCCCCTCTATATTCACTTTCCTTGGTCCAAGCACCCTAGGCTCTTGAACTTCTTTCAATAGGCTAGTCCCGAAAGATCCACCAACATGGCAAACGGGCTCGCGTGCAATCTTGGATAGTGGATTTGGTCAACGGAACCATATTCCGCAACATAGGGTCTGTGTCACATGGCCAACATACCTGTTCAAAGGGTCCAAGCACTTGCAAGTGTATTGGAGGCATTTGGAGGCACTGTATCCAACTACGCCTTCTCTAGTCAAATGAATGTACGAACAAATGAATACAAATAGAAGCTTACCCCCTTAGTCTGATCTATCTTTGTCCAATTGGGAAGTCAATAGGTGGCCGTCCCACACCTTCCTGCGAACTTGCAGGATTGCCAGAGAGAGAGAGAGAGAGAGAGAGTCTCAGAGAGAGAGAAAGAGGGAGAGTGAGCACGTACAAAACTCATCCATCAAAGGAGATGTGGGGTTTCTTTTCAGGGAACGTACAGGGGTCTGTTTTGTTTGTGATTGTCTTCAAATAAAAACACAACATCCACTTGAGCAACTGATTCTAATTTCACCCCCTGCATGTCAAGTCTTGCCCCGATTTTCCCCATATCAAAGTCACTCTGATTGCTGCTGGTTGTGAACAGCATCCAACACTGACTTTCAGAACCATTGAGCAATGGCAAAGGGTGCAGACAACAACAACAACTATCTCAGCTTCTGCCAAGCAAACAAACAACATGTGTAGACTCTGGCAACCATATCTAGCCAGCCTCAAATGTATATATCCGCTGACGTTATGAGTTTGCTATCAAATGAGGTCCCGTGGCCAGGGGCACAACATGACAACGTGTATTTGGTTGATGGATCTTGAAGGGAAACCCTGCAGGAAGTGAATTAAGCAGGACATCTCTGATTCCGCGAATCCACGCAGTTCGTCGATGTCGAAGTCACGCCCACCAAAAACATCAGGGTAATGCGTCAAACTCGGATCCCAAAATGGCCTTTGGCCTTCCTTTTCGTTTCATTTGGAAAGGGCACCGATCCAGCGTGGGAAAAGCAGGTCGCTGGAGGTCTGACAGGCCTCACTTACTCAAATTCAGGGCTGTGGGGAATGACCACTTCTGTGATACAACAGAAAGGGCTTCCCAAAGACTATGGTTTTCACATAAAGGGGATTCCCTTGTATAAAACCCCTTGATCCCACAACCCTGCTCAAATTGGTAGGCTAAGGGCTGCCAGCCCCACTTACTTTGATAGCCCCACTTACAAAAGAATGAGCCATGCCTGACACCCCATCGCCATGGCTCGTGGGATCCAGCTGCACTCGCTGATCTGCGGCACTTTTCAGCAGCGCCAAGGCGTGCTGTCCGGATCTTCGGCAACTGCCGACCTTGGCGCAGGGCAACTTTTTTGCAAACCCCCACCTAGACCCCGATTCAAGGAAAACCAAAAGGATGCTTCAACAAACCCTGAAAGAAGCATGCTCTCGAAAAGACGAACCCTGTTTCTCAGATGCTTTGCAGGGGAATGGGGTGGCGTTTGAAAAACTATTTGCATGGGGGCAAACGGGTGCTTCTCCAAATTAGGGGGAAGGCGGTGTCCTTTGGAATGTACACGATCAATAGCTTTAGCGGCTATCGGTATGTTAGTCTCCCTGGGTCCAGGGTTGGGCAAACTTGTCTCAAACCTGGTTTAGATGCGGTGGAAACTGGCGAAACGTGTCATACCAAAGTGGTGATTCTGATCACCCAAGTCAAAGAAGCCAAGGGCTTGAATCACCCAACCCCCTCACATCCGAAAGGCAGCAGAGCTATAGGTGATCAGATCCGGCGTGGAAACTTCCGCGAAGAGCAGTAGAGCGGCCTGCCATCGCTGAGACTTCTCCTCAGCCCGGCCACCATAGTCCCTAAAGGTCCACGTGTCTCTTGAAGATGTACAAAAGGGGAGGACATGGGCCGAAGTATATCCTTAGACAGTTAGTTCTACAAAGACCTTGAAAAACCTCGCTTCCTGAGTGGATTGGCCAAGAAGTGACCAAACACTAAACTGGTCTTCCGAAAAGTATAGAGTCCAGGAACTCAGGAAGTGAGGAAATACCTAAACTAAGTTGCACAATTACTTCAGTTCCCAAGCACGCCTGCAAAACGACGCCAAAGCTGCATTTGAATTCCTCTTTTGGGAAACCAGTGACAATCACGAGAGCTGGTTTGCCCTGGACACTTTTCGCTTTCAACATTACCCCAACATGAGCAAACTCACTTTAAACTTGCCCAAAAGGGGACCCCTCCGCAGCTGGAGTGATTCCCGGCCAGGAAACCCTGCTGAGCACCCCACGAGGATTCCGTTCTGGAGGCTCACTCAAGGGGGTTAGGTGCCTTCATGATTGACATGTTTGCCAAGGGCCAGGATTAAGGTCCCTCACCCCCATTCATCAATTACACCAAATAACATGGAACCGCAAATAGCCTGACCATTCCGACGCCATTGCTACCTCAGGTGTTGCAGCCCCTAAAAGCAACCGATTCTGGTCATTTCAAAAGAGATCTCAGTTGGATGTTGAACTTAGTGACCTGGTTGCAATGGGCCTTGAGTTGCGGTTCGCCAGCCCCAATTATCCCACTTCTACCCATGTTGATAACCCCTTGCAACCAACCACCAAAGAAGAACATAGCAACAAGTGCCTCCGCGTCGCGCAGGCGCTGAGCGCTGAGTTGTAGGTCACCACGTCCGGCTCCAGACGACTGGACTTCGACTCCGCGAGCAGAGCCAAGGCCGTCTTCCAGGCCGAGCCCTGATGAGTCCAGAGCCCCATGCTCAGCTCAGCCGACGAGTCGGTGGTTTGGTTCTTCAACTGTTCGGTAATAAAAGGTTACTTCAAACATGTGTCCTTGTACACTTCTGACACCTGACACAAATTCCTGACATGTCCCTTACATTTCCCTCATCCTCAGATTGGGTTGACATGTATGTTTATTCGAACGAAAATAGGCGATGAGGATATAAGGTCCGCGCATCGCAGACCTAACTTGAAATGAGTGGCTTCCATCTGGTGTCCGCTGAGGAAGTCTCAAACACTTGCCTGACGGAGCAGGAAAGATATGGTGAAAACCCAGCAACAACCCCCTAGGTCCTATTCATAGCAATTTGGCCCTTGGCGCCTCCAGTTCCATCCACTTAACCCAGTGGCACCCTTGAAACCCAAATACAAACATATTCGGAAGGTGTAACAACATACGTCACATCTTCATCCCCTTTTGATTTCCTGTTGACTCAAGACATTTTAAAGAATATGTGCTATTGGCACCCCGACTTGCTTCAGCAAATGTGTTGAGATCCACTGGAAGCTACCCCGGTCTGGGTGCTAGATAGGCGGTCGCAAACCCAAACAACAATTATTCATCCCTTTAAGGTGTCCGTTTGGTCAATATGCACGAAACAAATCACCCAATTAGGACACCTTCATTTCTGGCATTCATGATCCTCATGTCAAAAATCGAGGTACCCCATGCAGCACCAGGACAAGATCGATGGCACCTTCTCACAGGAGGTGATGGTGCTATTGTAGCTGACCAGGGTGAGGTGCAAGCGCTCAATTCGCGCTTCCTGCAGAAGCCTGGCACCCGGTTTTAATCTAGCAAAAGAGGTGTTTGACCGTCGAGCCCACTAAACAACTGGACAAAAACACAAATTGCCCATTCGCTGGGGGACCACTCGGGGGAAACCCCGCTCTGTGTCGCTTGATTTTGATCAAATATGTCTCCAAATGGCAAGCTTCTTTCTTGGTCTTCTACGGTATAAGAGGAGGCAAAAGGACACACCAACCATTCTCGGGGACTACTGGTTTTGCATAGGTATCCTCATTCACTATGGTTCAAGTATGATACGTATACGTGAATCCAACTTGTTCAACCCCCATGGAAAAGGGTAACCACCAGGCACTGGTTGCGGAAAATGCACGCTTTCTATGATACACAAGTGAGATTCCCATCCTTCCAAAATCAAAGCACGTGAATAGGAGGTCCCCAACGTTTTCACAGGTGTCAACCTAAAGCCAACACTTGTCCACCATGGAAAAGCTCCCCAGCCCAACTACATAATCTGTTTCGCTCAACTAAGTCCTTTTCGGTTTACCCTTGACATACCATGCTTGCAAGGGTTATGAATGCCTGTACCCCCCGCCCCCCCCTACCCCCCCCCCCCTTAAGGCGGTTAGGAAGTGGATGTATCAGCATTTTCTCTAAGACTTCCTAAGCTGAACCTAACAGACCCCTTGATTTTGATCGGAGATCCGAGCTGCGTTGCTTTGCTGCGTCCCCTAACCTAGGGAAATCATAAGAAATTCAAATTGCTTTTTCTGAAAGTGCTGTGTCCCCCCTATGCTTTCCGCAAACATGCTTCCGCAAGGTTTCCTAGGGCTTCCCTAGGGCTTTGTCTAGGGCTTCCCTAGAGCTTCCGTAGGGCTTCTCTAAGGTTTCCAGCTTCCCTAAGGCTTCCCTAAGGCTTCCCTAGGCTTCTCTAAGGCTTCCTTAAGGCTTCCCTGAGGCTTCCCTAAGGCTTCTCTAAGGGTCCCTTCCCAACCTAACTTGCAGGTTTGGGCGGTATTTCTTGTCCAATCAGCTTTTCACGGTTCCCCAAGAGGCTCCCTAGTCTTCCCGCCATGCGCAGGGCGAATGCCAGACCAAGCTTCCCCAATGCTTCCCCAATGCTTCCCCAAGGCTTCCGCAAGAATTCCTAAGCCACCCCTGCAAGAGAAGCCCTTTAAGCTGAAAGGGGGGGGGGGTAAAGGAGGGGGGGGGGGGGTGCGGGCTCCATAAAAGGGGCCCCTTCCTCTGAAAACAACGTGGCTGAAACCAAAATCCAATCCGCAGCACCAACCCCCAAGCCTCGACAAGCACACGTTTGTTTTCAAGGCCACCCCCCTCTAAACAAAAGTAAGACACACCCCTGGAAATCTGGGGGTGCTACGACTCAAGTCCATTTCGCACCGGTGTGGTTTATCCCCATCGTTGTTACCCTTCTTCCATCGCGGATCTTGAAATCACAGGGGCTGGGAGGCCTCGCCCCTCTCCCCTCAGGCCCCATGACGTATCCACAAGGTGTTCCGCTGATCGATTTCGATGGATCCACTTCGCCTCAAAGCGGTTTGCCAGGCCCCGTGCTCGCAGGCGCTGACCTGTCCACAGATTTCACCCACTCCTCGCCAGTGGTGACCACTAAAGGGGACCCGAAAAAAGAAAAAGTTGTCTTCCTTTGGTTTCCCGTTAAACCAGACCAAGAAAGGGGTACCCTCAAAAATGACATCCCCATGTCACAAATGTGATGTTCTTTTCAGTTGGGCGGGAAACACCTGCGAACCCTGCACTGCAGCGGCGACTTCCAGAAACAACTGCCCACTTTTGCAGCTAACTGAGGCAGCATGGCAAAATTGCTGGTCATCGTTATAGCAAATACACCTTTCTGTGACAAGTGGGCCATCCCCCTGACTACTGTGTGAACCTTACATGTTGCTGGTTGCTTCGACTATTCCCCATCTCCCCTCCCGCCCTTTCCGTCAAGCATCGGCAGCATTGCACGTGATAATGTCAGCAAGGCTTTGCGCTCGACACTCCTGCCATCGATCGCAATCCGCCCCGTGGCCAGGGAACAAATACGGGCACTCAGAATAGGCTATCCCTTTACATCCTTTCCCCATGGCTACTTATCACCCATAGCACAGAAAGTTGCAGCATCAAGTCACGTTCTCGACCATGGACCCTATCCTAGAGAAAGAATTGTCTGGGCTACTCTTTGCGGTTCCGAACCCACCGAGCAAAAAGAGAGTTAGAGAGGGCGCTACTGACCAACTGGGGATCGCTACAGGGCCCCTTTTCCCGGCTTCACGTGGATTCCAATTTTAAAGCGCCCATCTCCCAACAATGGTCTTCCCCAACAAATGCATCGCAACATCACATCTTCCACCCTATCCTCTAAATCGGCTGGACGACCTGAGATGGCCAACATTCGTCCTGGAAAAAAGGACTCCAATCTGTCCTTGGTTTGAAACGCGTGCAGTTTTAGGGTCCTGGAAGACCAAGAAAGATCCCACTCAACCCTAAAAGGCCAACCCTCAATCCTGCAACTTTCCAACCTTGCAATGCCACAATGGCCATGTTGGTAAGCCATCTTTGTACTCATCCACAATGTGAACCTCGCATAAATAAACTCCTGTTTGATGTTGATTGGGCGGTGTGCCCTTTTAGTGGGAGGCTATCACTTTTGGAGGGCCCCCCCACCCCCCCGCCCCGTTATCCGGGGGTCAACGTGATCATTCTTCAAAATTTGGCCATCTACCAACGATAGGGGGTCATGGAGACTCCAGGTAAACCCTCAAACTTGCTGGTGCGATAGGTAGGGAATGAGGGAATGAACCCAGAAATGTCCTTCAAGGACACCAGCAGTTGGCTGGTTTCCTCGGGGGCCTTCCATTTCTCATTCCCGTCTCTCGCACAAGCCGTCTTTGGAGGTGTCATAAATCCAATCTTAAAGGGTCATGGAGACTCCAGGAAAGCCCAAAAGTTCGGTCATGACTTTACAGAAGGTGCTGCCACGACGTCCCAGGTTGGAAAGGAAAGGCTTCGACTAAAAAACACAAAACAACATATCCAAAAGTAACTGGGCTACCCTCAGATCCCCCGCTAAAAGTTTAACTTTTAGTGGGCTAAATGGAAAACCCCACTACACACTAAAAGGCAAAGGGGATGGCTGGGAGCCACCAAGGTAAGGAGCCCAAAAGTAGTGTCATGGACACTCAAAACACACAAAAAACATATCCAAAAGTAAGAACCCAAAATTACATTCATGAACACTCCAGGTTAAACCCTGCAAGTCCAAGAAGACTCCCACAGTCTCTGGAGCCGACGTTCGCTTCGAGTCGGTTCGATTCGGTTCGCTCCTGCCACAGCTCCAGCGCCTTCTGCCACCGGCCGCTGCTCGCCACGGCACTCACCGCGGCGCCGAAGGCGACCGAAGTGACGGCAGGCAGCGAGGCCAAGAGCTGCGACGCGCCTACGCGGGGCGGGAGCTGTCCGGGGGAGGACTGGGAAGCGACAGCTGCTTCCAGAAATGAGTTGTGGGAATTTGTGCGGGGGACTACTGGGAAGCGACAGGTGCTGCCAGAATTTGTCAGGTGATGTCAGGTGTCTTTGGGTTCCATATGGATCTGCAGGAGATAAACTGGAGTTGCTGTGGCTATTGGGAATTTCCCGGACGGATAGCCCCTTGAGAAAGTGTTGCACTTGGGGTTCCTTTGCTTTCAACCCAACACGAGGTCAAAAGGTAAACTGGCAGGAAGTGGGCTGGATGCAACCAGTATCCTAAAAAGGGGCTTGACCATTTTGAGCGGCTTCGGAACCGAATACATTAAGAGGATACGGGCCGGTAATGTCCTTTTGGTTCCCTTCGAACCCCAAAATGTGCATTGTTTCGATACACGCCTAAATGGTTGTTTGAATTCTAAAGACTAACTTCCTGGACAAAACAACTCTTTTTGTAGAGATTCTGCCGAGACCCGCTACTCTTTGTATGGCCCTACACCAGCTTCCTACGCTTTCTGCAGGCTATGTCATTCTGCTTCCTTGCGGCATCTTCGCAAACAGCTGGAAAATCAGAAGAAGGATTCTGCCAGGTTGCAACCCAGCATCAAACATGGGATCCACTCTTGTGTGAGCCATGCCTGGGCAATGCAAGACCGCTTCCTTACAAACATAATTTGCATCATGGCGGTCTAAATGAACTGAGAGGTCGACAGTTTTGCTCCAACGACCCTAGCACAAGGGTAGGCAATTGGGGCTTGACAAATCGGGAAATTGGGCAACCTACTTTCACCCAAAAGCCTGTCCAAAGCATCGGAGCGCTCGCCGCGCTGATGGCGGCGCTGACTACCACCACGTTGGTAAGGCTTCGCCCTGCGCTCTCCCCCAGCCTCGGACAGGTCGGGTGCCGAGCCTTTCTTCCAAAACCAGGGCCATAGCAACTGGGGGCCAGTGCAGCCTGATAGTGATAAAATTAGTGACTCCTTGGGGCTACCAAGGACCATCATAACCCTCACTTTGCTCCCCTTGAACCTATGTGTGCTGTCTCACCTACCCAATATTCGGCCTGGAAACCTTGGGATGCCCTCGCAGAAAGCTTCGCACCCTGGGTCAATTGGCGCAAGGGGATGGTTTCAGCCATGATTCGATATGTTGGTAAACATGAGGTGGTGGCTTCCCTGTTGGCTTCCTTTCAAGCCCTCAAGACTCACACCCCAGGTACTTGGATGTTCAACCTCCGTAGTACGTGGGTTCTGAACATCAAAAGTGAGCCAACCCCAGCTATCGCAGTGATGGTCAACGCTCAACCCTAATTACCTAGGATTTACATTTTTCATAATACCATCTGTTCAGTCCAGGGCAAAGATGTCAGACCAAAGGTTGACCCTCTTGCCCAACGCGGGTTGAATAACCAACTAATTGACGCACAATCGTCGTTTGCCATGGCGCCGGCGCTTGTCTTCCCAGGCCTCGGGGCGGCCCAAAATGGTAAGGGAATAGTCTAACCACCGAGCATCCAAAGGGGCGCCCTTTTCCCGCCCTTATACTTAAACATCACCCCTACTATGGGTATCTCATCTTAAGGGAGATATTGGAAGCCCTGATCTGAACTAAAGGGCTTCACCAAAAACATGCAAAGAATGAAGAGGGCGCCGCACCGGCCTGTCCCTCATGATCAATCTACGCTTTGTGGCATGCAGGTTGAACGTACAACTTCCAAGTGGGTATCGCTCAACATAGGGTACCCAACCAAACATAGAAGTGTTCAGCGCTCGCTTTGGTGTCTTTCAAAACCAACCTGAAAACCCCATGGAAACACATGCAACCGCGCACACACCCAAGCGCCAAATCGATTTGGCCTGGGCCAAGGCGCAAGGCCCACGCGGCTGCCCAGCTGAATTTGCCGCAGGCGCTGACCGCCGCGCTGTAGGAGTGGGCGGTGGCTTCGAGGCATCTGGCGGTTTGCTAGGCGAAAAACCCGAGGAGTGTGGATCTGTGGGGGAAAAAAGCTCGGGCTATCCAAAGGCCTGCTTTCAAGATGCTTCTATTGCAGAATAACATGGCACATGAGAAACTTCTTGGAATAATGCAGGGAAGCCCGGGAGCCCACAAGAAAACGCGAGTGGACAGAACATGCAGTGATGCGACTCCAGTCCACCCCCGCTTGCGTCTTCCCAGCACCGGAACCTCTCTCCCTCCACCGCTCCGAGCCGAGAGAATCCTCGCTGCCCACTTCCCTTGGAGACGTAAACGAAACCCAAGCATCGGATATGCTTTTGGGAAACATGGATCCTGTTGGTTTCCTTTTCAAGTGGACAACGTCTGGTTTAATCGAACTTGGACCAGCTCTGCAGGGAGGGGCAGGTTCTGTTTAAGATAGCTTCCACTAACAAACTCACTGCAAAATATTATATAGATGCCTTTTACACTCTTTCGAACAATCTTAGACGCTCCCAGGCTTTTTGTTTTTTTCCTCGTCCACGATTGTCTAAAGTCATTTAGGTGATTTTGGTCCTGTGCACTTCCATGTTAGTGCAAACTGATATATCTGCCAAAAGCGGGTTTAGTTAACATGGCGGGGCTTGGGTTTATGTGTTTCCCAGGGACTTACCGGGGGTGATCTTTGTGGGGAGATGTGGGGGAGCATGGAAAGTTTTTTCCTGTGCACTTCCATGTTAGTGATGTGTTCAGACTGCATCACCTTGCCACGCTGCTTCCACGTTAATTCAGGCTCACGTACGTACGTCAGTGCGACTACCAGTAACATAGACAGCGCACGTGCTTGCGAGATTCCTCTTACCAATGGAAGCCAGAGTGCCGAAGAACACGCCCAGCTGCACACACGCCGCCGTACCACTAACATAGAAAGCGCACGCACGCACTTAAGAGATTCCTCTTTCCAATGGAGGCCGGAGTAGAGTGCATGCCGCCCTTGCGCCCAGCAGCACTCACGCCGCCCTCGCGGCGATGTGCTGGCAAGACTCCTCCCGAGAAGGTCGGTGCAGTGGCTTGGACAGAAGTCTTTTGGTACGAGGTTCCATGTTTTATTTTGGTTCGCCCTTGTTCAGCAGTTCAGCCCAAGGAACGCGTAGTGCCCGTACAGCTCACTGGCATCAATTACCTGGAGAATGGCGAGCCATACATCGCTTGCTGGCCTAGCTCGACAAGGAAGCCCATCAACTTGGACAGGGTGCCGCACCACTCTCTGACAGAAGCTGCGAGCTGGTGCCACAAGGCTCATTTGCTCGGAAGGGTGAAACAAATGGGGACCGCATCCAGTCATGGTGTGATGAGCCTACACCGTTTCTTCCCGCACTATCGTGGCAGTGGACAGGAGGCCATTTCAACATGAAAGTAGTTTTCCAAAGCCATCCCGTCCATTTTCCATGATTGTTGGAATTTTGAAACGGCCTCCTGTTGACTTCCACGATTGTTGAAAGATATGCAGAAATCCCCCAATGCTGTTTTCGCTATGGTATGACTTGGTATGCTGACAAGGGGCTCACTAACATGGACTTTGAGCAAAGGGTTTGGTTGACTAGTTTTCCAGGCAGTTGCCTGTGCGCTCCAAGCTTCTCGGAGCCTTGCTGGACATCCGATCTTGGGAAGCGGGCGTGAGCTCAAGGTCACATCCAATTTCTCTGGGCTGCTCAGCAGCAAACATACCCTGCGTCAGGGGTAGCATCCATGTTAGCCAAACCGACTCATCTGGCGCCAAATTGACGGGCTCAACTGAGGCTTGATGCGGCGGCTCGTGCCGCCAAGATCATTGAGAAGAACGGGGGGGGCGTCAAATTCAATCTCGCCTTTTGCCTTCATGTTGTTTGCAGTTGCTTTGTTACTGTACAGTACTTCGAACTTGCAATGAGTTCTATCCAAGGTGAGTGCTTGCGACAGTGACCCAACAGTGCAAGAAGGGCTTTTGCGGGACAACTTCTTCCAGGACCATTGCATTTTCACCGATGCACCTTGGCAAAATACTCTTGCCATTGACTAACCTGGCATTTGGGCAGCTCCACTGCCATGATTGCTTTGTTGAAACTGGTAAAGACTAATCCATCCAACACTTGGGGTTGTACAGTCTAACACTTTCGGTGAACAATCGTGGCGGTCCGCATGTGTGCTTGTCGGCAACCATTGAAGGTTCAGTGCGTGTACGCTAAGCCTTATTGTGACCAATGAGGTGCTGAACATGGTGGATCCTGGCTCGCAAAAGCTTTTGGCCGAAGCTGAAGGTGTGCCGGGTCGAACGAACCATTGCTTGGTTGGGGAAAGATGTTTCATGGCAAACAACAGGGAAAAGAGAAGGAACCACACATGTGAGGGTGTCCGTGGTGGCCTTCAGACAAGCCGAGCCTTTTCCAGGCTCAGCCGAGCTGGTCAAGATCCTGGATCAGGCCAAGTTCCAGTCGAGGGCCCGCTGCCTTCGTCATTCTTCCAACACAGTCTTTGGAGCTGGGTGTGATTTGCCCACTGGCATTGATCTGGAAACTTATTTGCAAGGTTTGCGAGTGGGACAGCGCACCATGCACACCGTGCCCACTTCCATGAAAACCTTGGGTTGGTGGGGGGGGCTCCAATCAGCACATTGCAGCCTGTCCGAGGATCTCTCGGCCGTCAGCTGTAAAGATGACAGCTTGATGGGCCAAAAACGCGAAGACCTCGGACCTGGAAGGAAATCGGCCTTGACGCACTGGAGGCCACCGGCTGTGAGACTTGACGGCCCGAAGTTTCCCAAAATCATTGGCTTGCAAATGCATGTCTCTGCAAGCCGTTCATGCGCAGGTACCATCTCTCGAGTCGTACCAAGATCATGCTGCTGGAAAACGTTTGTACAGGGTCAATTCAAGAATTGACATCCAAGACATTGACCGAGTCTGGGGAAATGACGGTTCGGGTCCTTCACGGGGCCACAGAGGATTCGGGGTACGGCGCCGTGCGCCGCTACCGCGGCTGGAGCCTTGCTACAAAGCAATGTAGGGCCAATGTGCTCTCAATTCTCCCCAACTGTTGTTATGCTTTTCCAGGGTACGTTTGTGGAACTCAGGTGCGTGTTTTTTGGGCCTGCGCACTTCCACGTTCTTGTTGGTGCCAAATTTGGCACCCTTCTCTTTTCCCTTTAGTTTCAAAGGAGCGAAGGGGAAACCATCATTTTTTGTGGAAGCCACCCCTTTTGCATTTTTGAGGAACCTCCCTGTACACTTCTATGATTGTTGGAACCCCTTGGTTTAAAGGGAATTAGTTTTGTAGGGAAACCGCCAGTTTGGTACCCTTTTTCTTCTTGGTTTGAAGGGAATGAAAGAACGAGCCATCATCTTATAGAAATCGTTCTTTCCTCTTGGTTAACCCAGGAGTCCACTTCTATGATTGTTGGTCCCCCTTTGCTTAAAGGGAGCCAAAGGGCAAAACCGCCAGTTTGGTACCCTTTTGTCTTCTTGGTTTCAAGGGAATCGAAGGGCAAGCCATCATCTTATAGAAACCGCAACTCTTTCCTTTTGTTGGTCCCCCTTAAGGGCAAACCATTAGTTTTGTGGGGAAGCCTCCTGTTTGGTACCCTTTTGCTTCTTCGTTTCAAGGGAATCAAATGACAACCATCATTTTTTGTGGAAGCCCCCATTCTAGGGCTTCGCCACCACCAGCTGCGCTGGCTGCCTGGTTCCCACCTTGCCCCCCTCGTGCCCACCCCGCGCCCCAGCTGTGCGTGCGTGCAAGCACTCGCAGCGCGCACGCGTTTTGGGGTCCAGATGTCTTGCTGGCTTGAGTCCGGATGATGCAGGGGATGCTGAGGAGGACTTTGCTACGGGTATAGGGTTGCCTCACTCTTCAAGCTCGAAGACACACAGCGCAGCTGGATTTTGCTCTTTGCAGAGCTTCCCTGTCCACTTCCATGATTGTTGAACCCCTTTTGGCTTAAAGGAAAAGGGCAAACCGCCATTTTGGCACCTCCCTATCCACTTCCAGGGTTGAACCAAACCATTTTTTTTGCGGAGAACCACCATTTCGGCACCCATTTTTCCGCTTGGAGGAACCTCCCTGTCCACTTCCATGATTGTTGAACCTCTTGACTGAAAGGGAGCCAAAGGGCAAACCATTCTTTTGGGGGGAAGCCACCATTTTGGTACAGTACCCAGTTTCCACCTAGGGGGGCCTCACTGTCCACTTCCATGATTGTTGGATCGCTTTGGCTTAAAGGCAAAGGGCAAACCGTCATTTGGGGGAAAACCGAGTTTTGGCACCCATTCTGCACCCTCGGACAACTAACCCCCTTTCCACTTCTATGTTTGTTGGACCCCCCGTCAAGCCCGCAATTTTGGTACCCATTTTTGGAGGGAACTGGCCAATGGCTTTCCAAGGACAATCGCACTTCGAAGAGATAGCGGCCGGTTCATCTGCAACCCTCAAGTGATCTACGACAGAATGCGGGCTGAGCTGGAGCGCACGCAAACCTCCATTCCTCACCTGTTTTGGCTGGAGGATGAACAGCTGCCTTTCGCCTGCAAGAATTTCAGTAGATGTTGGGTTGTATCCCTTTGCTTTGGCTGAACTGAATAGTTAACATGGACGCTGCGTGACCCCGAGGTTGCTTGAGGAGCGGAAGGCTTGTGTAACAAGGAACCGGACACTGGGTCCCTTCAAGCCTCTCGTCCACAGAAACACAATGTGCCACCTTGTTAGGCAAACATGGCATCGTGAGATTCGGTTTCACTTACATGGAAGTCGTGTGGTTCCCCTGTCGTCTCAGGGAAATGCTGACAGACGGCGACAAGAAGCGCTTGCAATGTGCTTGGGACAAGCTGGACAAGGACTAGAGGGTGAATGCCGTTACAAAGCTGTAGCGTGTTAATTACTTCATTATTGGCCTGGTTGCGCTGGAGGACCCGGTTTTGGCAAATGAGCCCCATCTTCATGTGGCTGTTCCACAGCAAGGTGCGAAAGTCATGAAGACCACATCGA